TCTTTCTTTCTTTCTTTCTTTCTTTCTTTCTTTCTTTCTTTCTTTCTCTTTTCTTTTCTTTTCTTTTCTTTTCTTTTCTTTTCTTTTCTTTTCTTTTCTTTTCTTTTCTTTCTTTTTGCACACCTGCAGACCCAGCTGCTCTTTCCCAAATTTGTATATAGTAAGCAGGGCTGTTGAAAACTGAACTGTTACCATTGTTCCATAGTTACATTTTTTTCCCCAACAGAGCCCCAAATCAAAGAATTTTCTTGGACCTTTTAATCTCATGGAACTTTCCAAAGAGAAAGTAGTTGTTACGGTGGAATATTCCATAAGAAAGAAAGCCAGTTTCCCACAACTGAATCATTAATTTTTTTTGACATAATGAATGGTGCCTCTGTGGTATTTCAGCAAAATAAACAGTTTAAGATCATAGACGCATTCTAGCAAAGTGCTCAGTGTTGATTTTTATCTTCTTTCTGGGAATCCGATATATAATTACTCAGTTTCATTCATGTCCCAAAGTTTTATTCAGAATAATTCGCTTAAGAATAACTGGAAATCAGTTTAGTATATCTCCTTTTTGTTGATGTAACTGTAGTGGTTTCCATATGACTTGATTTCTGAGAAAAACACATACATTATCTTCCTGAGTTTTAATTGTTTTTGCTATCAGTCAGAACCAGTAATTTCTCATCAGAGTTCTAAGCATTTAAATAGTATTTATCCTTTTCTAATCTATTCATATTTGGTACAAATTTAAAATACGTTGTGAGAAACGCTGTTGCAATGTATTTGTCTCATACTGGAACTAAATGAAAGGCTGCCTTCCTTAGTCTTTTGGGATTATGAAACTAACAAAGAGATGAAAGCTTTAAAAGCGTCCCTTTGGAGAAGCTGAATAAAAATCACGATTATTCTGAAAAACTGCACTATAGACGAGGAAATAAGACAAGTATCATATTCTACTGCCTGTGTGATATAGAGTGGAGGCTGAACAGGATATCTTCCACCCAACCACTATTTGACTTATTTACAACAAACCACATAATATTGGTTGCCAATCTTTCCTGGGTCACTCACTCATTGTTTCTGGAGTTCGTAAGCAAGTTCCTCTCAACAAAGACTCAGAGCTGGGGTGGGTGGGTGATGCTTTCTAGATGAATTCAGAAGCTCCTTTTAAACTTTGTCTCATCCCAGTATCTACTGATGAGACAATGTTTGGCTCAGGGTGAAAGTTGGGTGTTGCTATTTCTTCTTTTCGCTTTAATCCCTTTAGGAAAACTCATTTTTCTTGCTGGGAGGAAGAACCATTGGCAGATAATCTAGCAAAGGGTTTCTGTCATCATTCTAGCCAGGGGAATAGCCAGTTTCCAGACTGTTTAAAGGCTGTTCTAATGAGGGCAGTAACAGAAGAGCAATATAAAGCTATAACATGGATCTTCCACCTTCCCCTATCTGAGAGAATGCTATTTAAGAACGCCCACTAAATATAATGATTTGAAACCTTTACTGCTATACAGGGATCTAAGTTTTGAATAAAACATTAAATCATGATAGCAAAAGCATAATCTTTTCAGAATGTTTGGTTTTCTTTTGCTTTCTGGGTGCCAAACAAAACGCTTTGGAAAGCATGAATCATTATACTTCATCTGCAGTTTCAGGTTCCAGGAAAGTACAAGCTTCCCCTTTCAGTTGTTCCATTTTATGCATGTAATTTCATAGAGCCTTGGCAGTAAAAGGAGGAGGAGGGGGATCTTTTATTATGATAAGTTGCTAAATAACCTGCAGATAAAGAACCTGTAATCGTTTTATTATTCTTTCATATGTTGTAGGAGTGATTCCTGGCATTACAAGCAGATAACATACTTCAGTCTTAATAAAATCACCACACATACTCAGGTTCCAGGGCCTTTCTATGTGCAGTGTACAATTCAATACAGATAATTGCTTTTCTATGGAAAAAAAAAACCTTAAAGAAAATAAACCCTGAGTGTTCTTTGGAAGAACAAATACTGAAGCTGAAATTCAAATACTTTGGCCACCTAATGGGAGAGAGGACTCATTGCAAAAGACCCTGAAGGGAAAATAAGAATGGGGTGGCAGAGGATGAGATGGTTAGATAGCATCACCGACACTGGGCATGAGTTTGAGCAGATTCCGGGAGACAGTGGAGGATAGGATAGGCATGCTGTTGTCCATGGGGTTGCAAAGAATCGGACACAACTTAATGATTGGAAAACAATGGACAAAACACAGGTCTTTGAAAATATGGTAATGAGACAAATATGTCACGTGGGAAATGGAGAACTTTCTAAATTATGTAAGCAAAGTTGTCACTGGATGTTAAATGTATACATTCATTGTGAAACAATCTGTTTCTTTAAAGCAATTCAATAGAAATCAATAAATTAGCCTTTGGGGAAATTTGCAATAAGATTCTCAAGATGTTTTTTAATGTATTAAAGATGTTCAAATATTCAAAAGACTACAAATATTCTCTTTTATTGGTAAACATGTTCAGTTATTATATTTTTCTTTGAAATGCTTCCCATACTATGCTTTGATATGAGAAGCAATACACAAATTAATTGAATAAATATCTAAATAAAAGCTATTTCTTAACCATTAGTGTTTTAAATTGATAAAAGTTACATTAAAGAAGGTCATAGGAAATAATGACCGGTCAGGAAGAGAGAGAGAAAATGAAGCAGAATGCAAAATATTAATTTAATAAATAATTTGCTTTTATTTGAAACCTCCCAACGTATAGAACATTAACCAAATCAACCCAGAGTTCCCATCTGAGGCCCAAAGTATCCTACTTCTGACCCATCAGAATAAAGTTGGAAGGAACCTTAGAGGTCATCTAGTCCAACCCCCTGCTCAAGCAGGAGACCCTAAATAATTTCAGACAAGTGGAGGCTGTCCAGTCTCTTCTTAAAGACCTCCATTGATGAAGCCCCTGCAACAGGGATGTCAAGCTCACATCATCACGGCATCATCACGTGATGTATCACCACTTTTTCCCCCTTCGCTAATCTGGGCACGGGCATGGCCAGAGTGTGACGCATCCAGGCCACGGGCTGCGAGTTTGACGCCCTGCCCTACAACTTCTGGAGGCAAGCTATTCCACTGGTTAATTGTCCTCACTGTTAGAAAGTATCTCCTTAATTCCAGGTTGCTTCTCTCCTTGATCAGTTTCCCTCCATTGTTTCTTGAGGAAATTAACTGAGGACATGACTCCCTGGAAAAGAGAGTCTAACGCTGGGAAAGGCGGAAGGAAGGAAAAAGCGGACGGCCAGCAGAAGGTGGCGGATTCATTTACAGTAGCGATGGGTGCACTTTTGAAAAACATCTGTCTAGGAGTCGACACCAATTTGATGACACATCACCAATCCGCCCCCGCTCCCTCCCTTTGCCACTAAAGCGCCTGTCGAGGCATCTTCACGCCTTTATCCACCACTAGGTGGCCTGGTGGGCAATGAGACAAACGAAGACAGACGGACGGGCGAGAGCGGTTTGGAATTCATTCTGCTCGCTCTTCCAGGGCTACGAACGGCTGCTTGCCTGCCTGCCTGCCCGCCCGCCAAGCTAAACAGAATTATTCTACTACTTTTACGCCGGACGAGAAAACCCTTCTGCGGCTCTTTTACTCCTTTCTTGAGAAGGGAAGCATCACGTCGGGCGGCAGACTTTACCAGCGCCTGGAAAGTCGCCTCTTCCTGCCTGAACGCAAAACGACCTTCCCGCTGAAGTGCGCGAAGGGCTTCCTGCCCCTTTGACCCCAACGAGCCAGGCAGGTGATTTTTGAAGGGAGGTGGGGGGGGAAGAGGCCGGTTCTGAGCGCGAATATTACCCTCGAAGTCCGTGGGTTTTCCTCCCAGGAAAGTGGATGCAGCCCACGGGCGCTTTATCTCCGTTTACTAACTTGGGTAAGTAAGTCAGTAGGGAGCATTGCTTTCTTTCCCCTTTGATTCGGATTGCTGTGGAGTGTCGGGGTAAGCAGGAACTGGTGTGAGAATGGTAGTTCTTAGCCATTAAGGGTGAACTACAGTAAATTTTGGACGGCTTGGTGGATCCTTAAAAAACAACAACCCCCATTTCTTGTTTTTACAGCTTTCGCACTTCCTTTCCCGCTTGCACTATTGACATTTCTCTTCCATTGAACCCATTTCTCTATTTTTCGGTTCCAGGGGAAACTCCATCTTTGCCATTTGGTCCGCTTTTCAGAAGTTCCCTTTTATGGTTTGAGAGTTTTCAACCAGTTTTCCCAGATAGGGTTGTCAGTAATTTCATTTGGCTCCCTTTAAACAAGCTTTCTAAGCTATTATATTTCCAGGATCCTTCGAGACACATACAGGCCTTGAGGCATATAGGTGAAATGACATGTTGATGCACCCTTTGGATGTTGCATTACGGCTGCTTTGTTTTCTCTTTCTAAAGAACATTCTTGATGGGACTTCTTCCTGAAAGCCCTTAGTGCACGCTACACATATATCCAGTTATTTTTGCTTCGGTGTCTTTTGTTATGACTTGCCAATTCTGTGCTTTTTCTCTCTCTCTTCATAGCACTTAGCTGTGGAATGATTGAAAATGTGGTTCGGGAGGCATTGAAGGAGGAGAGCTGTGTTAGCATAAATCAGGAGGAGTCTGATCGCAATTTTTCTGACTAACAAATTTTATTCAGGACAAACACTTTTGAGAGCTGCACCTCACTTCCTATATACCGATAAATACAGTGACTAGAAGGATGTGTGGGAAGGAGAAGAGAGGGAAGGACAGGTTGATTATGCAGATAACACGTGAGACAAATTACAAGTACTTTATCAGTTTAGATGTCATTTATTTATTTATTGAATTTATATTGCCGCCTATTCGCCCATGGCGACTCAAGGCGGCTTACAGAATAAGTATCTATTGTAATACATTAAAACTCATCATGTTCAATGAGGCCTTTGAGAAGCCTTAAACCTTCTGATGTATGTAAGCTCAATAATTTCAGTGATGCTGTTAAAGTCTCTCTTTCCCCCCCAAAATAGTCACTTTGAGATTCACAATAGAAGGGTCTGGGAGTTGAATCACTCTGAAATTTCTTTGTCCTTCTTTTGAGTCTGATGTCAAACTTGTGCCCATTTATTCTTTTGTCCAAAGTTTGTCTTACGTAAGGGCTGGAAGAGCATGACAAGTATCACATAAAATGATGAACATGTAATGGCCCTTCTAATCTTGTGTATGCTTGGTGCTCTTGGAGGACATATATTGATTTGACAAAATAAAATTTGTAGAAAACATGCTATATGATTTTTTTTTACGTGGTTCGGAAGGAGATCTAAGCTTTTGACTTCTTTCACAGCCCATTTTGGATTCTTTTGCAGTCTCGGTTATTCATTTGTACGGTGAGAATAAGTTTCCAGGGATTGCTATAGTGGTAAGCAGGGGGAGAAAATATTTGTTTTGTGAAGTTTTGATAATGAGGATAAGCCCTTAAGGTCCTTTCTCACTTGGACCTTTATGGTAGCATTGTGTTGTCCTTGTGATTAGAGAAATTCGGGAATATGTCCCTATCCATTAGTTTAAAATATGCTAAGGCACAAATAGCAATTACTTCCTGCTAAATGTCGTGTTGGCATTGACATTTTTTTTCTCCTAGCATTTGCTAGAGAAAGAGACGTGTTTCTAATTGCTTCATTATTAGGATGCTTGGCAGCAATTTGATTCTAATTTCCTACTGGAAGCTTCCAGTATGAGTTTGTTGCTCTTTCTTCTATGCTGCTTCTTTCTAAGATATAGTGGGCTACTTTGGACAATACCTGAACTGGGCAACCATGCTGCCTGTGTCAAAGCAAGTAACCGTAGCATAGTCAGCTCTAAAGAAAGAGGTGGATGAATACATACAGCACTCTAACCACTGCGCCACCAAGGCTCTTCTTGGACCTCTTGGAATTCCCCACCCAACAAGGCCATTTAGAAGAATTCAGGGAATTTAAATCCATGTATCTACAGTTATAACTTTTACAATCCTCTCCCACATTTTTCTATTCAATTAACAAGATATCTTTGAAGGAAACGATGGGTTATTTTTTTGAATTTTTAATTTTGTAGTTCCAATTTTTTTTAGCACTGGATTATATTCATTTACCCCTCACTAAATTGTAGCAGCAGCTCAGGAGCAGAGGTGGTATTTGGCAGGTTCTGACCAGTTCTGGAGAACTGGTAGTGGAAATTTTGAGTAGTTCAGAGAACCGGCAAATGCCATCTCTGGCTGGCTCTGCCCCCATCTATTCTCTGCCTCCCGGGTGTCAGCTGATTGGCTGGGTCTTCTTTTGTTGCCCTACACAGGAGAACAGAGCTGGAAAGGTGGTTAGTGGGGTGGGGAGGCAATGGGATTTTGCTGTAACCTTCCCCCAGGAGTGAAGAGGTAATGCTTGAAGGCAGGACCGGGAGCAACAAACTGAAACTAAACCCAAGGTCAAATGGCTCTGGGTTTGGGGTTCTTTGGTCCATGAACAATTGCCATCTCTGGTCTTGGATGCCATTGCAGACAGATCCAATATATATTTTAGGGGTTCTTCTGGATTCATGACTCCTGTTCAAGGAACAGGTGAGAGTCCAAGAGGGCTTTTGTGCAACTGTAGGTTATGCACCAGTTATGCCCTTTCCTGGATGAACAATCACTGCTCACAGCCATTCCCGCCTTAGTACCTCCCACCTTGATGATTACAACCCACTGTACATGCAACTGCCTTTGCAAAGTATCTGAAAAATTCACTCGGTTCAAAATGCAGTCGTTGGTATGGTTTTGTGCAGGCCTAGCTGTGCACTTGTGTCATCTCTCCTGCAGGAGCTGAACTGGCTGTTTCAATGTCCAGTTAAAGTGTTGATTGCCATCTTTAAAAGCCCTAAATGGCTTGGGACCAGGTTATTTGAAGGACCATCTTTTCCTGGTCACATCTACCCAACCCACCAGAATAAGGAGGCAAGGAATGCTACAGCTTCCCTCTCCTAAGAAGGTATATCTACTGGGACCAAGAAGAAGGATGTTCTCCATAGTGGCTCCCTACCTGTGAAACATCGTTCCCTGAAGATATAAGATTTGACACTTATTTGAGTGAGGCTTATTTGATTGATGTTGCCAGGACAGTGTGTGTGGGGTGGTGGTGGTGTTGCTTTTTGTTGTTTGTATCTTTTTGTTGTTTTTTATCTTTGTAAGCCACGCAAAGTCCTGAGAGTGAATTGGGCAGTCATATAAATTTCCTTAAATAAATAACTAAACAAATTGCCACTTAGTTATTGTTCCTTGCTGATTTGCTACTATCAATTTACCCACTTTCCCAGTTCTGAGTAATTTTGTAACTATAACTCAGCACATGTGCACCCCCTTTTCAAATTCTAGTAGTGGGCACAGGTGTGTTCTAGAAATACACATATATACAAAGATTGGGCAGCAAGGCTTCCATACTCTTGTTTCACCTGCAAGGACTTTGCAGAGAAACTTGGATTCAAATTAAGTTTATTTCCAGGGTGACTTTTGACAAATCTGTAGCAAACACTGTGGGCGGTGGACTACAAAATGTATGAATCTGAGCAACTGATTAAACATAACTGCCTTTACATGCTAATATCTATGCATTCCTAATAGTTGTTAAAATGACTTTGTTAAATCATATCAAATGGTTAGGTGGTTGTTAACATGGTCAATTAATAAATTGAGATGTGAAAAAATAGCTCCTTATTAAACATGAGAAAGTAAAGTAGAACGTTTGTTCATTTTGGGGGTTGCTCACAGGCTTCTTCCAAAATGCCTATGTTTTAACAAATCATCCTTTTGAGGCATGAAGACGGGTATAGCTGGCCTTTGAATCCACACAAACTTTGATGTAACAATGTTATCTTTGATCTTGATTACTTAAGAAAATCTTTATCCTGACTCCAGCTTAACCGGCTCATTCTGACGTCAAAGTCACAACAGGCCCCTGCGGAGTCTGGAGGAGAAATTGCAAAAGTGGTGTCAAATTAATCAGTTTAGAGCTTAAAAGTAGTGAGGGGTTTAAAGGAATTTGTCTCCAGGTCTCCTTTCATATTTGTTAAATCAATTACATCTCAGTCAAAAATTATTCACTGTATGCCTTTTGTTGGAATTATGGGCCAATCAGATTTAAATCCATTTAAATTGATGGAAGATTCCAGTGCAAAGCAAAGCAAAACATTAAATACTAATCATGTAGCATGAAACTGTCCATTGCATACAGGTAGTCGCCAACTTAAACAATTCATTTAGTGACTGTTCAAAGTTACAATGGCATTGAAAAAAGTGACTTATGACCATTTTTCATACTTATGACCGTTGCAGCATCCCCAAGGTCAGTTGATTTACATTCAGATGCTTGACAACTGGTTCGTATTTATGACGGTTGGCTACAAATACGGTAACCCCAGCCCTGGGAACAAAGCTGACCTTTCAGGCTTTTTGGAACCCCATGGGTATCTTAGAGATGGTGTTTCAGAGGCAGGGACAACTTCCTTGGCCCTTCAAGATAGCAATATTTTATTGAGGGAAACTGGAGTGCATTCATAGGGTCTCCCACTTGGGCGGGGGGTTGGACTAGATGACCTACAAGGTCCCTTCCAACTCTGATTATCTGTATCATTCTGTCCAACACCGGCTGGTCCTAAATAAATAAATAATAGTGTCAGGACTTAGAAAGGCTACAATTGTAGATTATCTATGAAATGGAAGAAAATATTGGAAGCTGAAAATGACAAATTTCTATATTGTTGACAAGAAAATTACATTTATATGTTTGAGATCAGTTAAAGGGTTTGTGTGTTTGTTTTGCTGTTCAGAATTGTAGGGTCTGACCTTACACAGATAAACCAGGTATTACAAAGATATGTCACCCTGATTTAATGTCAATCCTTCCAGGTAAACTAAACAGGAAGCATGACTAAAGGAGCTAATTCTACTTTCTTGTAAGGCTACATTAACAGAATCTTGCAAATCTGAAGATACAAATTTATCTCCACCACTTTCAACTGCTTGATCCATGGGTGGGAGATATTTTCTTCCTGAATTTCATCCCCTGAATATTAAGACACTCTTCTCTTGTCTGATTATTCCCTTTGTCCCTCAAGGTGATTCTCACATACTGTTGCATCTAGCTAGGAGTAGTGTCACAGTTTACAATTCTAGAGGATCAAAGCCGATTTTCTATATGGTGACTGATAGTAGGAAGGGCTAGTATTGTTTGGGCTCTTGATAAGACAATGATTGGATGTTCTAAAATGCTTCTTATTCGTGGATCTTTTCAAGATGACCACCATTTCTGTGCCTCTCAAGCCTGTTTAAGGCAAAATTTGCAGATCTATTCAAATATGGAGATGGACATAGTCATAGCTATATGTTTCTGAGTCAAGGAGTCACATGAAACTGCTGATCACTAGTTTGCCCTTTGTAGCTCAGATGAAACCAAAGGATCGCCAGCCAATCAGTACTCACTTCTCATCCTTTCAAGTTGACTAATAGCTGTGCATTAACCTTTGTTTCAGTGGGTCATGGCTAAAAATATTTATCCTCCCTACCACAAGCAAAAAAAAAAAAGATGCAAAAAAAGATGTATATGTATTACTGTGCCTGTATTTGTAAACATTCCTTGGTTCACAAAAAAAAATATTGGAAGAGAAACTCTGCAAGAAGGGGTAGATAGTTATCTATTTCCACTTTTCCTATGTTCTTTAAATTTATTTATTTTTTAATCCAGCCTTTGTTATTTTTATAAATTACTCAAAAGAGTCAACCTGCATAATATTCCTTTTTTCTCCTATTCCCCCCCCCAAACAACAACTCTGTTTAAGCCGTTCCTGAAGGCCTTATTGTTAAAACAGCTGTCTCTTTGCTGCTTAGTTACAAAGCAGTATGTGGATTGAAAGGACAATGTTCCTTCTATTAGATTATAAAACCAAGGGCTAATTAAAGTGATAATTACATATAATAAATACTTTTACAACATAGTTGATTGAAAAGATTCAGAGTACATGGTTTTCCACTCCCCCAAATATTCTCCTGTTGAAAGGAGAATATATATACTAGTTGCTTAGTCTATAGAGTAGAGAGCCAGGTTAAGGCATCATGCTAGAAACCAGGGGACCTGGAATTCTAGGCTTGCCTTAGGAATAAAGGCAACTGGGTGACCTTAGACCAGTCACTTTGTCTCAGCCCTAAGAAGGAAGCAGTGGCAAACACATCTGAAAAACCTGCTTGGATTTGTCTGGACAGTCTCTGAGAATGGGACATAATTGAATGGAAGAAAAAAAAAAAGAGAATATACACAGCAATCCAACTTTAAAGGCTGTTTTCTGTCATTCTGTCATATATCCTATCCTTCTACGCAGTCAGCTTGCCTGATGCTATCCAACAAATGATTGCCAGCCTCCATAAAAAGAGAAAAATGTGGACATTCTGACATGAATAGCATCCGTTTTATCTTACAATGTACAAATGGATTTCATTGTTTATTTAGCATATGTGCATCCCATCCCCCATACAAGGAACACAACTTTGTTAGGTAGTTCAGAAAGATAATGATGATCATGGATTTGTGTATAGCTTCTAATATTTATGTAGGCTCACCTTCTGACTTCCGGATACATTGGACTTGAATACTGTATCTCCCAATGGTATGAACAAACAAACATACTTTACTACCGGTTCTGTAGGCGTGGCTTGGTGGGCTTGACAGGGGAAGGATACTGTAAAATCTCCCGTCAGAGGTGGTATTTGCTGGTTCTCCAAACTACTAAAATTTTCCGCAACCAGTTCTCCAGAACTGGTCAGAACCTGCTGAATACCACCTGTGATACTGGCCAAATTCTGCAATTTGAATTCCAACATTTTTGGAGAACAACATATTGAGGACATCTGGTTTACAAAAATGTTTTAGGAAGCCAAATAGCAAATTACATCAAATTCCATATGGTATAAGAGCAGGTGTCTATCCTCAAAGTGATCTATTCCATTAGGCTCGTATAACCTTGCTGGCACAAACTGGATATTTTTTACTTTTAATGATTTATTTCTATAAACACTTACATGATATATAAATAGAGGTGAAAAATGTATGTAAGATTTCTGGAAAATGTTCTCTCTGCTTTAAAAGAAGCACCAGTACTGCTGAATCTGCTGTAGAGGAAAGAAAAGACTCAATGAGGGAGATGGGCAGTTAAGAAGTTTGATATATAAATATAAATTTAGATTATAAGAGCCATGGTGGGGCAGTGGTTAAAATGCAGGATTGCAGGCTAATTCCACTGACTGGCGACTGCCAGCAGTTTGGTAGTTTGAGTCTCACTGGCTCAAGGCTTACTCGGCCTTCCATCTTTCCGGGGTGGATAAAATGAGGACCCAGATTGTTGGGGTCAATATGCTGACTCTGCAAACCACTTAGAGAGGGCTGTAAAGCACTGTGAAGTGGTATATAAGTCTAAGCGCTATTGCTAAATAAATAAATATATGCTTATTTGAACTTTCCTTGGATTAACACGGTCAATGGTGAGCATTGTGGATGTTGCAACTCAGCAATCTGTGGAGCACCATGCTTACCCTAACTTGATTTTGCTTTGTTTCTTTGTCTAGTTGATAACTTTTCTTCCCTTTTCCTTGCCTTAGGGAAGAACTCAAGAAGATGATGGGTAGCTCGGAGAGCATGGAATCTACCCAACTCACCCTTCCGAAGCACATTCTGGACATTTGGGCCATTGTCTTAATCATTCTGGGTACCATTGTCATCATGACTTTACTAGTATTGTGCCCAGCAACGACGGTGATTATTTATAGGGTTTGGACACACCCTATGCATCACAATGGTGCCGAGTGAGATTGGCCTCCTTGTCGCTGTTTGGACTCTGCTTTTGAGGAACACAGGCCAAGCGCAACAGGAAAAGCAGCTGAATTATCTGGCAGTTTTCAAGATTAGGCTGAGCCCTGAGCAGGCATTGGTAAATTGTCAACAGAGATATAGTAGCAACACATCTGCTGTCAGCATGTGATAAGAATGCTACAGCTCACAAAATGTATCTTCGAGTGCCTGGTTATCTATTTGGCTTATGTCCACAGAACATTACATCCTGGACTTTATATCCACTTGTGGAATGAGCTAAACTGCTGCAGAATTCCAGATCCTTCCAGTTTTGATTTCTGGCATGTGTACCTCATTCAAAACAAGCCTTCATGTTTACAGAGCAAACTATTCCAAGGGAAAAAGGAGATGGCAGAATAACAGTGCTTAAGAAGAGGACACCTTAAGTTAAATTTAAGTAGTGACTGCTTTGCATAAGCAATTTGCTTTATCTGATCCAGACAATCTTCATTCCACACAGATCAGATGAGATCTTAGCTGATATATTTGTGGTCCATCTTTTCTTCGAGCATCCTCTGTTTCAAGCAGCACCAGTTAAAGAGAATTAAAAGGGAGAAATGAGAAGTCAGCGGATAAGTGATTGGTGGAAATCATGTTTGGTATCTACTGCAGTGGAACAGTACATTCATAAAGGGAGGTTTATTTTAAAGAAATTGAATGAACATAATATAGGGAAAGAGAAGAGAGAGGCTAAGATTCTAGAAAAAATATTTTACTGTCAGAGATTGGTATAGGAGAAAGTAAAATAAAAAAACTTTTCATTTGTGAAATTAGATTTCGTGATAGGAAGGTCTATCTCAAAAATATTTTACAGTTACTGTGCTATACAAGTATTATTATGATGGAGTTGTTGTTTTTTAATTTTAGGAGATAGATTCCGATCATTAAACCTTTTAAAAATATGTTCTCTTTTTAGTAATTGGCTTCTTAGAAGTACTAGTAGATTCCTTCAAATGGTTGGAACAAAATCATTCTGATTTCTTGGTGACAGCCAGTCTACACATTTCATTTACCTGGCTGATAGAATAATTTGCATTTTCATGAACCAGGCAATGTAATGTCCTTTCTCTTTCTCCCATAGTTAATGGTGTCAGGAATGAACACATTCGAGTCACACTTGTTTTCCATTCCCTTGTACAGTAGAGCTGATAGCCTCTCATTCACAGAGTTATTATACTCTAAGAATTACAGAGAACAGAAACATTTAGCAGGGATTTTGGTTCTTGTCTTAAAGGAAATGTTTTGGTAGGTGAAAAATACTGCAGTGTTTAATAAATGACACAATCAATAGTCATATACATATCAACTGACACTGAATTCATTTCCAGTCAACATATCATGAGAAAATTGTTATATTAAATTACAGTATTATACAGTGCCGTGTAATAAACAGTATTGATGCCTGTCTCTGAATTTTGATGTTTGAATATTGATTTCCTTCTTCCTGTTTGGCCTTGAAATATCTTATAGTATTCTACTATCTTATTGTGTAACTTCATATCATTTTAGCCCTTCGTAATCTGTTCGGTCAAGCTTCAAAACTCTCAAAGGAAGCTAAATTCATAATGCAAACTTGTGTTGTTGCCTATTATACATTATATGATTATGGCCAGTTGCCCTGGAAGCAGGAAATATATATCTCAAAATGTGTTTTAAATGCCAAGTGAAAATAGATAGTCCTATGGAGAAATTCATCAGTAATTGGTGGACACTTGAGATTAGAATCTTGTGGGGGTGGGGGGTTACCAGAGTTTAGGTTTATTTAGAAATAAAGAAACAAGCATATAACAATATTAGATGGAGGCTAGAATTACAGACATTACGAAACCTGATATTTGAGACAAGACTTTGGAACTCTGAGATCATGTTTGTTTAGTACCAGATGAGGTTTTGATTCCATGGCTGCTTTGTGCCATGATACTGTCTTACGGGTCAATTTGCAGCATTTTCTCATACAGTCTAGAGGTTAGATGTGGTATGAGCTGAGGAAATGGATGGAAGCCTTCAACAGTGAGATGAGTCAGCCTTTAGCCTAGAAAGAGATAGATGTTTTATTTACGACATTCTGTTTCCTGTGGGGTATATTCAGAGAAATTAAATATGCATTTAATGCAAACACTATCTTAGCTGTATTGCACACACAACTGGCTTGCTCTCAAAATGGAGGAATGGACTTTTGTTATTCAATTATATCAGGATGGACTCTGATTTCCAAGTGGAAATGGTAAGATACTGTGCAAAATCAATCTGCATTGTGATTTGTGTTTCACATGCTACCTACCAACTGTGTACCTGAGGGCTGGAGGCCTGGCTATACTGAACAAGGTCAAGCAAGTATGTCTTTTCCTTTCTCTCTTTTCTCTCCTCTCATAAACTCAAGGTGGCTTAAAGCTAATCTTGGTGATTTTTGAAGGACTGTACATTTTGTGAATTTAAAGGAAGAGAAGCAGAGAGGCACCAATGAGGGTCAGGATTATAAGAAGAGCCATTGAAGGGCATTTAATTGTAAATAAAAATACAATAAACAATACAATAAATATCTATTCCCACAGAGTAATTGAAAAGAAGAGACTGTGAAGTAGGAGGTACAAATCCATTTGAGAAGATATCTGGGATGGGCTTACCAACTTCTTCCTTTTCCTCTCACGAGACACTTAGTGGCAATGTTTAAGGGATGGTAAAAATTTAATTGATAAGCTTCATGCTAACAATTACATTAAACAATAATGGATATTGAAATTAGTACAGGAATGTAGCAACTATGTCTCTGATATTGTTAGAGACTGTCATTGCATTTACGTTTTTCCGGTAGGATTTTTTTTAAAAAAGGAAAGAAAAACTGCCTCAAGATCAATCTCATGCTCAAAACAAGAGTCACAATTTCAGTCAAGTCAGGGGTACACAATGAAATGTGGAAATAATACACAAGATGCCTCACACCTTGTACTACATTTGAACTTAGCCACACCAACTTTACTCAACACACATATGCTGCCATGGTTCACTCCACACATTTTCATTCATCTTTGTCTCTTATTTTGGCCACTTCTGTTCTCGAATAATAATGGCAGCTGCTACCCATTTCCTCATGATCCACAGCAGTGACAATTAAGTTGTTCAGATCCTTGGCCACCGGTGGGTACATCTCTTTCTCCAGTGGCTTATGAGCAAACACAACCCAGAAGTGAGGACCAGAGTTGTCATCCCCAAAATACAGGTAATCCTTCACTTACGATCACAATTTCTGTTGCCAAGCAAGACATTTATTATGTGAATTTTGGCATCGCTGAAATATTCATTAACTGGTAAGATGTTGTAACATATGATTTTATGTATTATGCTTAACTCCAATCTTAGCCGGCATAGTTCAAGGTTGTCTAAGCCTAGAATCTCAAGTCTGGTGGTGTAGGGTATTCTATTGCGAACAGAGGAATGTAGTACTCTTCTGGTAAAATACTTCTGGGCTCGCTCAATTGTATTTATGTCTGATATACAGTGTGGATTCCAGACAGTGGAGCTGTATTCATGTATTGGTCCAGCAAAGGTTGTGTATGCCCTAGTTTGCAAATCAGTATTACCAGAGGAGAAGCTGCGTAAGATCAGATTTACAACTCTTAAAGTCTTTTTTGCGATGTTGTTGCAGTGAGCTCTGGCGCTTAGGTCATTCAATATGAGAACTTCAAGGTCTTTGACAGAGTGAGGGTCATCAACGAAGTCATATCTACCTAGGTTGTAAATATGAACCAGTTTCCAAGCATTGTGACCTTGGGGATGCTACAACAGTTCTAAGTGTGAAAAACAGTCATAAGCAGGGGTGGGTTTCTACTGGTTCTGTCCACCTCTGTAGAACTGGTAGCTCTGAAGAGCAGCAGACATAGAACCGGTTCTATATCTGCTGATGTTTTTGCCCACCTGCCCACCCGGGCTCTTACCTGACCTTTATTTCCTGATTTTTCAACTTCAGCTGCCGTGCGAGGCACAGCTGCAGTTTAAAAAGCAGGAAAAGAGGGCTGTTTCAAAGGCTGCTTCTCTGCACGCAGCGTACTGATGATGATTTACAGGCACGTGGGCGCAGCGTGCAGGAAGTACATCATAAATCACCGAACCTCGTAAATCACCGAACCAGTAGTTAACCCTGTTGTATCCCACCCCTGGTCATAAGTTGCTTTTTTCAGTGCTGTTGTAACTTTGAACAGTCACTAAACGAACTGTTGTAAGTCGAGGACTAACCGTGGCCTTTCAGCTTCCCCATTATCTCACTTTCGCTCTTCATAACTCCACCATCAATGCCATTGTAACACATCTATTCTCAGCTGCTCTTCCACTTCCTTTTTCCTCTTTCCTTTAGACAACAATGCCCTTTATTTTAGTAAGATAAAATAACCAAATCTTAAAAGACTTTACTAGGCTTCTGTGGATCACATCATACAGTAAAGGCAAAGTTTGTTTTCTTTTCAAAGTCACAAGTTTGAGTTTCTTTCAGGACAGTGTAATATTTTCTGCATGCCTTCCTTTAATGACTCACTGAATTCTTCTCTGTTTCCAAAGTTGATTTCTTTATAACCACACAACAATTCATATTTGTATCCTCTCCACTTCTCCCTAATAGCTATCCTTCAGAATCAAAATTAAATAATTAAACTGACATTGAACTAACTATAAACAATCCCGGGTGCCATCTGGAAAAAGAGCTGCATTCAAAGCACAACAGTAAGAGAAATAGTAAATGTGAACTGACCATAATATATCCATTTTACAGAGATTTGGCCATCTCTTCATAATTCATCTCAAGCTAAGAGGGATTTAAAGCTCAGTTTTTTGTTCGTTCAACTTGTATACAATACAGCTAAATCCTTTGGAACTCTAAGCAATTGACAATGTTTGTACACTCAAAACAGCCACAGTGCCTATGTGATCATGCAAATTTTCCTGCATTATTCCAATTTTAGTACACATGTTGCCAAAGTTGTACAGCTATGGAGAAATTTGAAGATGGAACATCCTGGTTCACAGCTCAGATATATTATCCGTTAAATCATGAACTCTACATTTTTATGAAGAAGTCAAGGGCTGTTAGAGTCTCTAAAGTATCATTAGCAGGTACTCTAAGGATAAATCCAATTAAGATTATGTGATATGCTTGGTCTCATATTAGTCTTAATTATGAGGAAACATTTTTTTCTCCAAGGAATAAAGAAGAGATTCAATTAGGATAAAAACTGCTGCATAATGACCAGTTTCAATCAGGAAGGAGAAGAGGGGAATCAAGGAGATAATTACAGAAAATGAAATACAATACTCAGAAAAATAATATGCTTTACCTCAGATAGTTTTATAACCAAACCTGTTCAATTTCTCCCCCAGAATTAGATTTGTCTTTTCTCTGCAGGCATACCACTGTGAAAAGAACTACTAGTGTTCCTGAGGAGTGCACAAACTGTTTTGCTAGAGACTATTCATTCTCGAAGAACATCTAAATCAAAGTGTTCTTGTGTGTTTAGTAATAAATTGCCTTGATCTGATTCAGACCAAACCAGAACATTTTTTTAAAAAATACATATTTTAGGAGGAAGAATTCAGTGCAGTTTTTCTGTACCCCTATGAAAAATAATGATACAATCCCTAATTTTTGTATCAGCTTTAATATTGACTTAGTCAGTTATCCCTAAAACAAACCTGGAGCATGAATTGAATTGTATCTGACTTTGTTCTGGACCAGCTGAAGCATCTGCCAAAACATATTTCATGGTGCTAATTTTATCTTCTGAATTGCAAAAGTAAAAAATGCAGAGAAATATAGTCTAGCAATGAATTGTTTGAAAAACATTACAATTCCATGTAACTCTGAAAATAACAAATCACCCTTGAATGAAATACTTAAACAACCAATTCATTGTGTTTATATATAGCCAGTGCGGCTTTTAATAAACTTTTCCCCCAGAGAAACACAGAGAATATGCAAATCACCAATATGATCCCATGAAAAGAATAGGACATCCTGCAGGAAACTAACCAATAAGAATGAGTGGCTTTTTTTTTTTTAGTTTGAGCATTCCCAGCAATGGTCAAACACTTTCATTAACTTTTTAACATTTAGCCTTATGTATATTCAGTAAAGCAACTTTGTGGGGAAAAAAACATTATACCAACAACAAATACTGTATATTTGCACTGGAATAAATACTGTAGTGACCCAGTGACTTAGCCATCTCTGGCTGGTCTCAAAAGTCCTAGGCCAGGTCAGTAATTTGATGGAAAACCTCGAAGTTCTTGGTTAAGACTTGGAATTATTATTTTTTGTGGGGAGGGGGGAATCCACAAAATGGTAATGACAACTCATAAGTGCCAAGGAAATTACAAACCTCAGTTTATTGAATCAAGTCAAATTCAAAGGAGATTCAGTCTTAAAT